ACACACACACACACACACACACACACACACACACACACACACAGATCTGAATGTTAGCGTACATAGTTGTCATTCATCAACATATGCATAAAGAAATGTATATCCGACTCAACAAATTCAGAAATTAAGAAAAATAAAATATGCATGTATGACACAAAGAAACACCTGCTAATGCAAACGCACAACTGTCCTAATAAAATCCATCTTCACAGATTTCTATAAATACGTCACATAATATCCAAAAAGGTCCATGTCCTGCTCTCTTGATGTTGTGATATTCAACTGTAATATTATAATGTAAACCAGACATGTGTGTGTGTGTGTTTCCAACACAAAATGCAGTATTTTAGATTTTCCACAAAACACTTGAATAACAATAACAATAACAGCAAGCCCCTCTCCCCCTGTCTGTCTGTGCTTTCTTTTCTCATGTTATTCACACATTTTGTCATTGTTTCGACTGTGGTTTTGTTTAGGTGAGGCTAAGGTCAAAACAAAATTTGACAAACTAAAGGGAGAGTGTGGTTCAGGGGATAGTGTGTTGTCCACTAATTGCAGGCTTGGTGCAATTAGTGGGCAACAGCACTAAGTATGGACTTTCCAAAAAGTTTACTGAACAGGGTAAACTGCAGAGTTGTACCTTGGATGCAAGAGTAAAGTGTGGAATTAGAATCTAATACTCATTTATTCATTTAGAATGTGAGGGTGGAACAAAAGACTTTACCATGACATGAACCGAAGAAGCAAACATTTACAAAGACCCACTTGTTAAAAACTGGTGTTAAAACGAGGGTTTTTGTCTGAAGAAGAAATCTCTGCTGCCTGGTAGCCTCTCAAAAAACTGCCAAACAAAATTAGGCCTATCTCCAGCCTGCATAGAGCTGGGAACATACACCTTCTGATTTACCATAGTTCTTTGGTAGTACAAAAACTATCACAGGTTTTTACCCAGGGTGTCCAGTGATGCAGGCAGGGACACATTTTACCATTTACACCTCCAGGAGCACTGCTATACAGAAGCTGTCTGGTACATGACTTGATTGAAGAAGATGCTTGAATCAAGTTGAGTTGCTTCATATTAACTGAGTGAGTACTATGTGAAATAAATTCACTGAACACAACCTGTTTGGCTTTGAGGTCTGAAAGTTTTGTAAAAGGTTACTGAGAGCAGGAAACAATGAAGCAACACAGTTTGATCAGCTAAATCATTGGGGTCACACATGCCACCAAAGGAGCCACCAGCAGCACAGTAAATGGAAACATATAGTTGTATATACATGATACAAAGCTGCTGGCCTGTGATGGTATGTTGATTAAAATGTTGCTTGTAAAAACAGTAATAAAAAATCAATATCCCATTTGGGATTGTGTTGTTATAGTGAGTATCGGAACAGCTGTGATTCTGTTTCCACAGGTAATCACAGCTATTATAATATTTGGTGTCACAGCACAACCTCGACTGTGATATTGCATAGCCATGTTTGCATACAGTTGTTTTGTGTGACAGCACTCTACTGTGTTTGCTTCCAGGCGAGTTCATGTGGATTTGTTTGCAATGCTAATGCAATTTTAAACGACATAATGCGCTCGAATACAGAAACAGTCTAAATGACATGTTTTTATATGTCTCCATTATGTGTAAATATATATAAATGAATCTCTCATCTCTATCTGTTCCAGTGGATGACAGACAAATACATCTTAAACACCTGACAGAGAGATAAAACTGTGGCTTCTTATTCTCTCTATGCCTGTGGGTATGCATGAATGACCATTTATAGACACACACACAATAACTAACACAAACAAACAGTGTAAAGGCCATTTGCTACTTGCTGCATTCTGTCTTCATAACGCTCCTCTCACCAGGCAACTCGCAGATCCCATAATTTAGCCCTTATCTTGCTGGTGGAGGTTGTTTGTAGGGGAATGTGTGCTTGTGTGTAGGTATAAGTGTGTATGCTTTGAAGCAGCCACTTTTATGCCAACATAGACTGGCATAGAAATGGCTGCAGCGACTTTACACACTTATTTTTTTCACCACTACCTTGATTTGCTCTATTGTTTGAGTCTTAAAAACATTTGACATTTGCAATCATTCCTCACCACTTTGGCTAATAACTGCATATTGTTGAGTAGGTGGTGCAGTAAGACGGGAAATTGCAGGCATAGTATTATAAAATGTTAGTCAATCGTCAAAGTTACTTACAGTTTAGATGTGAAAGTTTGACTTTAGTAATTATTGATGCAGAAAGCTACGTGCCAGTGGAAGAAGCTTAGAGGAGGTGGACTGGCTGGCTTTCAGCATAAAAGCATATACAGAAGCCAGAAGCTGAGAACTGACATGGGATCAATGCAGCAGGTCTTATTTAGATTCCAATTACAGCCATTTGTGATCAATTGGCTCCTCTGCTCAACGGCAAACCAGGGCACTGCTTTGATCAATGGCCACACACACAGATGGACTGACACACCCAGAAACACAACCATAAACAGACTTTGTCATTCTGGTTCTGTCTGTGTGTTTGTATGTGCACGTGCGTGTGTGTGTGTATACACACAAACCAGCACAGGTGCAAAACCATTCAAATGTGTTTGATCAATGCCCACTTGGCCTGAGAGCAGGATCTGCATTATTTCATGCTCTGTAGTTTGGATTGATCGCAGGATAAAATGATTAGTGAAGGAATCTTTTATGTTGTTATTTTCCTTTTCCCCTCACACCAAGCCTTGCAGCATTGATTGCAAGGATACGCATTTGTCCTTGAATGTGTGCTTGTGTGATCTTAGTTTGATATTGAGATACGCAACAGGTACATCTTGAAGGAGCTCACAGGTTTCAGTTGCATTTTATGGTGATTTGTTGTGGTTTTTTGTAGCATTGTATACTCTGTGGTACTAAGTTTTCCCTTTGAAAAGACAAGATTCTACTGAATCTTATATTTTTGAAACTTTTATCAATACATAAAGTTTCAACATAGTTCTTTCCACCAACTCTCAGTGGACAGTGGGTAGCAAAAGATTGCAGAGTAATAACACTTTTTCTTGAGTTTGGGGGCAATGGAAACATTTAGGCAGTTTGGAAATTGTAAATATTTTTTTCTTCTTTTAAACTTTTAAAGACTACTCT